GAGGCGGGAGGGAGGCCGGAGGGAGGAGGCCGGAGGGGGCCTGAGGCCGGAGGAGGCTGCCCGCAGGGGACAGCGCGTGAGGCGGCGTCGCGCCGGGACTGGCGGGCCGAGGTGCCGTACCTCCAGGTGAGGACTCCAGGCGCCAAGGGGCCTTTCGGCCGCAGGAGGGACCCGATCTCCGTTTGCGATTTAAAAGTTTTCCGAAGGCGGTTCAAAGGAAGAGCGGACGGGAGGGCCGTGAAGAGGACGTTGAGGCCTTGGGAGGTTGGATCTTAGTTCAGGTGGCACGGTTGGCAAGAGGGGACACAGCATTGAGGCCCAGCGGTCCGACAGCCAGCGTGAAGTCGCCTGACTCCAGGGCCAGGGAAGGGTGCGGGTAACATGGGCCCAGCGAACCCTGCCATGGACCCGTTCCTCCATTGCCAGCCTCTGCACAGTTTCCCCTTGCGGCAGAGGTGCCCTGGAACTTAACACAGGTGGGTGGAGGCTGTCTCAGCCCCTCACTGGCCCTGGCCACCGCGCACACATTCTCTGGGTTGTGGTGTCCTGGGGCTCTTAAGTGTCATTCCCCCAGGCCTGGGTCTGGGGGCCCTGGGGAAATCCTACGCAGAGGGTCCTAAGTCCAGGTAAGGCTTCTGGCAACCGATGTACTAGGAACTGGTTCCAAGATATGCAGATGCTTAGAGGTGTAGCTGAACTGAGCGTTCAGAAAACCACAGGTACCCTTCTAGGTAGGAATGAAGAGCAGGGGGTCAGGAATCAAGACTGGAACGACTGAGAAGTTGGGTGTGTATTCTGGAGGTGATGGGGGGTGTGGATCAGAGGCAGAAAGTGGTCTCACGATCTTACCAGACTCTGTCTGGCTGCAGAGTGTAGAACAGACCGTGAGACCGGGGGAGAAGGAAGATCAGGCTCTGCAGCTACTGCCAAAGCCCAGGTGAGAGTTAATGGGCCAGAGCTGTGGCTTAGGGAAGGTAGTTGGATTCTGGGTGCATGTTTTAAATGGGCAACTAGATTCTCTGATGCAGGAGAAGGAGTGAAATACAGGACTCAGGGATGATCCCAGTGTTTTAGGTCTTAGCAGCTGTAGGAGTGGAAGGTCCATTATCTGAGATGAAGAATGTAGTAATACTCACTGTGGGGGTGTTAGGAGCTTTGATTTAGGTATATTGAGAGTCTGGGGTGTTTCAGAGACCACTGAATGGATGTATGATGTAGGCAGTTGTACACATAGGACTGGGAATCTGGGGAAGGTTCAGGATGGAGTGTTCAGGGTGTTCACGATTAGGAGGGGTAATCGACAGGTGATGATTGTAAAGCTATGAGGGGCCAGGTAGGGGGCATGGGGAAGGTGGACTGGGTCTCTTGGCTGGGTACCTGGGTGATGGGTGGAGGCTTCACAAACACAAATGGGGCAGGCACATGGCCCTGAAAGGAGTGTGTGTCAGGGACGGGGTAGTCTGGCAGGTGGCCAAGGCTTCCAAGGCAAGGGTGGACATGAATGAGGTGGACGCGGAGGGAGGGGATAACCGAGGCAAGATGTCAGGCAGACCGCAGTGGGTGTTTACTCACCACTCTGTGCACTCACCAGGCTTTTTTGAGGACTTTGTTGGGGTCTGGGCTATTTCATTCAGGCAGGAGGATAAGGTCAAGGGCAAACGTGGTCATTTGTGAGAGTCACTAAGGCCTGGGGTGGACCACTGATGGAGCTGGGCTTTGATGAGGGTTAGGTGGACAGAGGAAGGTTGTGATTGCTTTGGGGACAGCAAGCACAGCACCTTGTGGAATAGGGCCATGGGTATCTGAGATCCATACACATCTGAGGCAAGGAATAGACCCAAGCAGTGAAGTCTTGGTAGGTGGATTTGGGGCTGCGACGGCTAGTGGGCGTTCTGGGAAGTCAGTAGCAGTATTCAATGCTGTTTGAATTTGCGAAGCATCCTATGGATGCTGTATTCAGGTTGTGGTGCAAGGTCTAAAATTAAGAGCCAACATTACATGCGGCACTGATGTTTGGAAACTGTGAGGGCCTCCGATGGCCAGAGTGCTACTTCTGCTCCCCACTCTGCTCCCAGAAATAAGATCTCCTAACCAAGCGATGTTTTTATCAAGGGGATCAGGAGCCGTTCCTGCTTATCCCTCTGTAGTTGGTTTCAGTTCCCTACCTGCCCATGGAGTTACTGACAATAAGTCAGTGGCATCTTCCCAGGGGAAACGGGTACCTCTTTGTATTGATATTACAAATCTTGGATCTCACAACCACCATCTGTTCACTCTTTCCCAGAGTGCCACCCCCCTGTGGCCCTGTGTGGTGTGTGGTGTCCTCTCTCAGACTGTGAATATATATGGTTAGAAAAGTGCTGTCAGTCTCATCTGTCCAGTGTTAGGTGTTCTGTGTTTGGCCATCCCCATAACCCTAGCACACAATCCATTCCCGTCCTCACCAGTGGGGTGAAGAGCAGGTGATTGACATAACAGTCATATATAATTGTAAGACCAGAGAGTAGTTGCCTAAGGTATGCAGGGCAATAAGGTGGTGGCAGCCATGGGCATGTGGCAGTGTCTGCAATGTGGGGGATATGCCATCTAAAGAATGATGTGTACTTGTAGAGGGTGTATGCCTGATGCCCTAGGGCCCTGGGATTGGGAATTGCATGGTTTGTCCGTATTAGGGGAATTACTTAGCAGAAATGGGTGAATGCCTCTGTGCCAAACCCTTGTTTTATACCTTTTTATCCACCTGCCTCATCTTACTGATGGCTGGTGCCCATGATCAATGGACCTGTGAGGAGACAGTGGCACCAGCAGTGCTAGGGCCTGGTTTCTCTTCTGTGTTGGATGCTCAGGAGGAGGATGGGTGAGGGGTAGATGTGGAGGAGATGGATTGTCATCTATGAGGGAGAGGCTGTTTATGGTTTCATCTGTCTCCATCTTGCCAGGGCACTGTGACCTTTGAGGACGTTGCTGTGTCCTTCTCCTGGGAGGAATGGGATCTTCTTGATGAGGCTCAGAGACACCTGTACCAGGATGTGATGCTGGAGAACTTGGCGCTTATAACCTCCCTGGGTAAGGTCCTCACACCCACCTCTGTACCCTGAGCTAGTCTCTCCCTTTGCCTTTTTCCCCAAGGGCAGATCTATTCTCCCATCAGGATCATGGTCTCTGCTTCCTTCCCCCACTTCCTTGAATAGGCAGTGTGGTTGGCTGGCTGAGGTATGTGCACTGCCTTCTCCTTGAGCAGCCCCAACACCTGCTACTCCCATAGCCTCTCAGGGAAGGAGCCAGGGTCAGGACTGTTCCATTCAGCCCAGTGGATCCCACTTTGCTTGCCCTCTCCCTGCCAGGCGATTTGCAGTTACAAAGCACCCAAGTATCCCAGGTTCCACTTTCTTTTTCTAGCTGACATTTCCTCATTCCTTCTTGTGCTAGAAATTGCCATCACTGACCATCACTGTAATGTAGACCACGGTCTGTTCTTGCAAGATCCTTCTTGGAAGTTTTCTTTATAATAGTTTTCTTTCCTGTGCACTGCATGTGCTGAGCTGTTCTTGGCCAGTGCTGTCCACTTATCTCTCCTGTCTTTCCCTTATTTATACTTGCATCATCCAGGTGCCACATAGTTGCTCATCTCGGGATTGTGGAGAGTCTGTTGTGGTTCACAGCCTGGCTCTGAACAGTGACACCTGGGGGTGGCATGACCTCAGGGTTGTGTACACATCATACCAGAAACTTATTCCACATGGCTGGTCTTTTGTTGGTAATGACAGTGGCCCCCACACTTCATACCTGCCTTTCCTTCCCGTCTTTACACTCAGGTGACTGGTCAACTGCTATTCATCACTTGTACTCTTACTTCCTGCCCAGGGCTAATCTGCACCTCCCTGGATTCCACATCTTGACCATTTTAGTCACTGTTCCATGTGGGGTACTGTCCTCCTTGGCTCTTATGTGTTGTGTCGTGAGGTGAACACAGATTGTTAAACAGTCCTTGAACACCAGGCTCTCTTTCACTGTTGAATTTTCCTGGGCCTGAACACACCCTTCTGCATGGCAGACTAGGTCCTGTTGAAAGTTATGTGTAGACCTTGTCTCTCTTCAGTGTGTTTATTTCACCTCATGAGTGCCCCTAAACCTCCATTTTGTGAGCAGTGACGGCCCAGCACTGCTAAGCAGCCTCATCCTCAGCCTGAACTCAAACCTCTTATCCTATGAACAGTCTCATGCACTCGTTTCTGGGTTTGTTAGACATGCTTGGGTAGCGGCTGCCTACCCACAAAAGTCATCGTGCACTTCACCAGCATTTCCTGCTTTCAGGTTGTTGGCATGGAGCAGAGGATGAGGAGGCACCATCTGAGCAGAGCATTTCTGTAGGAGTGTCACATGTCAGGGCTCCCAAGACAGGTCTTTTTCCCCAGAAGGCCAACCCCTATGAGGTGTGTGGTCCAGTCTTGAAAGATAATTTTTACTCGGCTGAGCACCAGGAAACACAATTCAGTGAGAAAGTGTACACTGGTGAGACACATGAGAAAAGATTCTGTTTCAGCGAAAACCTTCAGCAGCAGCAGAAGCAGCATGTGAGCGATAAGCCCTTCGGTAACAATGTAAGCAGAGCTTCAGTGATCAAGAGCTGCAGGTTGCAAGTGTCAGGGAAGCCCTTTATCTGTGGGGAGATTGGGAAGGATTTCTTGGCCAGCTCAGGATTCCTCCAGCAGCAGGCCACACAGACTGGAGAGAAGTCAAACAATGCAACTGAATGTGGGGCGGCTTTCCACAAGGGAAAAACTCAACACTGCTGGGGAGACAGCACAGAAGCTTTCAGCCACAAGCACACATTTGTTCATCACCAGAGAGTCCGCCCTGGAGAGAGATGTTACATGTGCAGTGAATGTGGGAAATCTTTTAGCCATAACTCTAGCCTTATTAAACATCAGAGAGTTCACACAGGAGAAAGGCCTTACGAGTGTGGGGAGTGTGGAAAATCCTTTAGCCAGAGCTCCAACCTCTTTCAACATCGGAGAGTTCACACTGGAGAAAGGCCTTACGAGTGCAGTGAATGTGGGAAATCTTTTAGCCAAAGCTACAGCCTCAATAACCATCGGAAAGTTCACACTGGAGAGAGGCCATTTGAGTGTGGAGAATGTGGCAAATCCTTCAGTCAAAGATCCAACCTCATTCAACATCGGAGAATTCACACTGGAGAAAAGCCTTATGAGTGCAGTGAGTGTGGGAAGTCCTTTAATCAAAGTTCTGCGCTCCTGCAACACCATACCGTTCACACCGGAGAACGGCCCTATGAGTGCAGTGAATGTGGGAAATCCTTTACCTACAATTCCAGTCTTTTAAAACACCAGAAAGTCCACACAGGATCAAAGCCTTATGAGTGCAGTGAATGTAGGAAATCTTTTAGCCAGAATTGCAGCCTTGTTCTACATCTGAGAGTTCACACTGGAGAAAGGCCTTATGAGTGCAGCAAATGTGGAAAATCTTTTAGCCAAAGCTCTGCGCTCCTTAAACACCAGAGAGTTCACACTGGAGAAAGGCCATATGAGTGCAATGAGTGTGGGAAGTCCTTTAGGCGAAGCTCCAACTTCAGTGACCATCGGAGAGTTCACACTGGAGAAAGGCCGTATAAGTGTAACCAGTGTGGGAAATCCTTTAGTAAAAGCTCTGGCCTCACTCGACACCAGAGAGTTCATACTGGATTGGGCATTATAAATATCTTGAATGAGAAAGCCATTAGCCGAAGCCCTTACCTCATTGATTACCACAAAATTCACATGGGAGAAACAACTTAGATATGTAGCAAATGTATTTCCTTGTTCAGTATAACAACGAGGAGATCTCTTTTGAGGGTACCATTTGCCTGAATGGCGCCTCTTACATCCACACATCAAAATAAATTCCAGGTATGTGGAGCTGTGTTGCATGTTTCAGCTTGGACCCGTGTGAATTTTTATTACTGTTGATTCTGTAGCAGCAGCCATTCACCTCTCCCACCTGCAGGTGCCCATATGTATATCATTTATCTGCTCTGATGTGTTCAGCAAAGTAAACCTTGGTGTTTTCCCATTCACTGGGTAAATGTGAGAAGCCAGAGTACTCATTTTTTTCTCTCTGATTAGTAGGGCACAGATGACCCTGTTGTGTTCCAGAGGACTCCATCTGAGTTCTGCCTGTGACCTGAAAAGTCACCTTTTTTAGGGATATTGGTCTGGTAATTCTTGTGATGGAATTTCCTAGCCTCCAAATCACTAACCGAGGAACAGCCTTCCTCTGTTAATTCTGGTTTGTGCTATAACAAAGGCCTTATTGTGCAAGTCATCTTTATCTTGAGGGTTAGATTTACTTTATGGGGTGGTTTCAGAATGACAGGAGAAATAGCTGGCATGGGCACCCCAATCTTTGTGTGCTTCAGGGGGATAGAAGGATGGTAGTCCTGTCTCTAGTTTGGGCCTTGTTTGCATTGTTGCCGAAGGCCTCTAAGGAAATTATGTAGGGTTTTGTGGTTAAATTGTAGCCTGGATGCCAGGAAGTTTCGTGCTGTCAGCACTCACCTTGAAGAGGGGGCAGTTGTGACAATCTCTGGTACTTCTGGGAACAACATAAAATTGTTTTCTTGTTTGCAGGGGATGTTGCATTGTGCTCAGCACTGGTGCAGGAAATCTGTTCCCAGGTCTTGGAAAGGAGAGATGTACCCTAATGCCCAGAATTCTGTTTGGTGGTGTCACTGGCTGAAAGATTATAGGGGGAGTCATAATTGTACACAAACGGAGAATTAACAGAGAGGGCAAGAGATTGCAACAAACTGGTTGGATTGTGCCTCTTTTATAAAAGGGCACCTGCTATTGTGCTAGTCAGTATGGCTGTGAAGGATGAGCAAGTACAGAAATTCTCAGATCCTTCTGAACTGTGAAGCTTGTGTAGCTGAGGGCCTTGTCAGAAAATAATCTAATAGGGGGACGCCTGGGTGGCTCAGTTGGTTAAGCATCTGACTCTTGGTTTTGACTCAAGTCATGATCTCAGGGTTGTGAGGTCAAGCCCTGCAAACAGATCTAGCCTCAGTGCGGAGCCTGCTTGGGATCCTCTCTCCTTCTCCCTGTGCATACACTCCCCCCACCACCACCACGTTCACACTCTCTCACGTGTGCTCTCTCTATAAGAAAAGGAATCTAACAGTTTTATGGATTCCTGTAGTTTCTCTGCATTGTTCACCATAAGGCCTTTGTTGCACAGGAAGGAAAACAAAGATAGAAAGAAAGAAGATCTCAGTCCAGAAATGCAGGCTTTACGCAGCCTGCATTCCCAATGACTCAGGTGGAAATGGCTTTCATTGCTCACCTGTATTTGCTGCAAACGAAGCAAGGTGCTGATCCCAGGGCATTACAAGGGATATGGTGCGGTCAATACAGGTTTGCCAAACTTTGTTTTTTGAAAACAGAATTTTTTTTTTATTATACCGTTAATGCCTTTTTGGTATGGTTAATAAATAATAAATTGTCCATATTTAAACTGTACCATTTGATGAGTGTTGACATTCCTATAAACCCATGAAACCATCATCACAAATCGTAACAATGTGCATATGCATCACCCCACATTCACTCATGCCCTTTAATTATTATCTCCTTCTCTCTGCCCTCCAGGCAAACATTGATTTACTTTCTTCTACAATAGATTCATATGTATTTAATGTAATTTTACACGAATGAAAATAAAATGTTTAGTTTTTTTTCCCCGCTGGGTGTTCTCATCTGGTATATTTATTTTGAGATTTGTCAGTGGGTCTGTGTAATTAGTTCATTCTTTTAATGTTGTCAAGAAATGTAATGTTCTATCTACTATTTGTTTATTTACTCATCTGTTTCAGATATTTGAGTTGTTTCTAGTTTGGGGCTTTATCAAACAGTTGTTAGAGACATTTGTTTGATTCTTAAATTTATGATTCTTTGTATGGATATGTTTCATTCCTCTTGTGTTGATACCTCAGAGCGCCTCAGAGCTGTAGTTACAGGGCTGTGATTTGGGGACTGTTAAATGAGGTCATCCTAAGGAGAACTCCTCCCTGTTAGCTCCCTATGAAAAGATGTGTTAGTTATGGGCTGAATTGTATGTTCCCAAATTCATATGTTGAAATCATAATCTCCAGTACCTCAGAATGTCACTGCATTTGGAAATAGGGTTTTTAAAAAGGTAAAATAAAGGCGATACTGTGGACACTAATCCAGTGTGACTAGTGTCATTAAGAGGAAATTAGTACACAGACACACAGAGGGAAGATCATGTGAAGACAGAGGAAGAAAATGCCCACCTACAAGCCAAGGAGAGAGGTCTCAGGAGAAATCAGTGCTGCTGACACCCTGATATCAGATACCTAGCATATGAGAAAATACATTTCTGTTGCTTAAACCACCCAGTCTGAAGTAATGTATTATGGTGGCCTTAGCAAAGTCTTATGGGAGCCATCAGCATCTGGGAAGGAGAGGGTCTGCAGGGTGCCCTAGGGACAGAGGGAGGAGGTGATTATGATCCGTAAAGTAGTTGGAACCAGAAGGAGGGATGGGCTTGGAATTGATTCCTCCATCCCCACCTCTCAGTGGAGGTCACAAAGAGAAACTTGCTGCCCAACCTCCCCCTAGGTTCAGTTTCCAGCTGTGTAAAATGGAGATCATGAGCAAACCTGCCTCTGGGGCGATTTGAGGATGTAAAGAACTCATGGCCTAGGAAAGGGACTCAGATGGAGAATCTTTTTTTTTTTTTTAAGATTTTTATTTATTTACTTGATAGAGACACAGCGAGAGAGGGAACACAAGCAGGGGGAGTGGGAGAGGGAGAAGCAAGCTTCCTGTGGAGCAGGGAGCCCGATGTGGGGCTTGATCCCAGGACCCTGGGATCATGACCTGAGCCGAAGGCAGATGCCCAATGACTGAGCCACCCAGGCGCCCCTCAGATGGAGAATCTTTGAAGAGTGATGATTGTCCTAAGGGGTGGGGATTAGGGTTAGCAGTGCCTTTGGAGAGGGGGGCAAAAGATCACTGGGGGCAAATATTGAGATATTTATACCTGGGGGGCCTTGCAGGGGCTGAGGTTGACATGAGGGGGTGGGTAAGGTTCCCACCTGGCTCTTCCTGAAGCTCTGATCCCTACTGGACAGTCCCAAGCCAGTGGGGGACAAATAGGGACTGAGTGGCTTGGACCATGCACACATCACCAAGGGGACCTGGATAAGTGGTGGCCATACCTCAAGGGCCCCTTGAACACCTTCTTATGGACTTTATCCAGCTTCTACCCTCTATGGGACTTGAATATATTTTAGTGATTGTATGTCCATTTGCAGAGTGAGTTAAAGCATTTCTTTGCTGAAAAGCTGCAGCTCTTATAGTCACTGAAAAGCTGATTGATTTTGTTTCCAGCCCTGGATCATCCCAATGTTTACATCTACATCAAGTCATCATGTCACACACTTTATGGGAACCATTATAAACACTCTCTTTTATCACTCACAATCTTCTAGAAAAGTTGAACAGACCACTGGCATCGTTAACATCAGCAAAACTTTCAGAAACCTTTAAGCTCCCTTGGCCAAAGATATTCCCTCTTGCCCTTATGGCCATGGAGTCCACTCACTCAGTTATCCCGCTGTGAATTACTAAGTGGAAGACTCATGCATGTGTCTAGGGATTTCACTTCCAATACTAGTTACTGCTCTGCTACATGCAGACATGGCAAAATATTACCGGGGATTCACATAATATATCCAGTCCTGTCACCAACTCACTAAGGCCACCTTCTGAAAACATGTTTTAAAGGGCTTTTTTATGATCTTCAACTAGTAGATTCTGTTGGAACAGACCCCAGAGAATAACTGCTCATAAATCTCATCGGAGGGAACCTATCAGGTGCTGTTAGCAATAAATAGAGTAGTGAAACTCCAGAGAGTCACTCTGGTTCATGTTGCACAACTAAAAAAGAAATCCAGATTTCCACACAATTGGAAGGCTACTCCAATCCAAGACCTCAAACTGAGGATTCTGAGCTGATCTTCAAAAGCAGACAGGTGACCCAAAACCTTCGGAACAAACAGATGACAGCTTCCACTCGATACCTCACAGCAAGACATCTGTCTAACAAATTACTGTTTTGTATTTTTAATCTGCTTGCCTGTAATTGTTCCACTTCTCATTTTCCACAGACCCCTTGTCATCACCACTAATGGCCCTTTTACTCGTTTCTTCCTTATAAGGTTAGGTTAGGTCAGAACATAATCTTAACACCCTTATTAGGTTATCCCTAACAGCAGCCCCTACCCTCAGTCACTGCTGGATATGCCATTCATCACCCGCCTACCATGATAAAACCTTTGGGCCATGCAGGTTGCATCAAATGAGACCATAGGGAGTTACAGCGGATGGCATTTCCACTTGCACATACATGGACCTTGACCTTACATGAATCAATGTGTGACATTGCTAGTGTCCCTCTCTCCCAGAAAAAGAACTGATTATTTCAATCTTGATGAGAACTCAGGCGATCCTAAGTTTGATTTCAATAATCTTCATAGGGCAATGTGCCCAATACTTACTACCTGGTAGAGACCGATAGAGATCCAAAAATGTAACCCAGTCCTGTAAGCCCTTGGTTCTGACCTTATATCATGAATGACTCCTTTGTTCCCAGATGTCTATGTGCCCTTGACAGATAACTACTTTCTTTGTGGCCAGGACCCACAGGATTCATACTAACACGTCATGCACTTTAGGAATAATATCTTAAAACTTGTCCATACATGAGGGACCCTAGTTCTATAAATCACCAACGTTGGAAATCCGACTCAGGAGTGATTTCTAAAATGAGGTCTTCTATTCAGCACACTGAGGAGAGTACTGACTCATTGTTTATGTGAACGATATGAGTAGTGTTCCCATCAGTGGGAATCATACAAATATAAAAGACTAATAAACCTATCACTATCCTTGGCAGTAGTTTTAAGACACCAGTTCTGCCCTAGATGTAGTAAACATTTGTCTCAACTCATGGACACAAGTAGTGATGGACTGTCTCATTGCTCTAGATTTCTTGTTGGCTAGTCATGGTGGAATCTGTGCCACTGCTAATACTGCTTGTCCTTGGATCTATGAAACAGACGAGGGACTATTAATTGTGCTTGCTTTTGTCATAGTGGTGATGACGCTGGTCTGTTTGTCCAGAGTCTTAAATGCTTCTATGCAACTGCACTTTTATCAGATGATCACTGTGATGATATAACAGTAAAAAGGTCAAGCCAATCTTGCAGTACCCACTATGAAGATGAACAGTCTCTAAAGCAGTGAAGATTTGAATCTGTGTTTCCCCCAAATTAGTCAACTTCTCAGAAGTGAGAGAAAGACCAGGGTGAGACTGAGAGAATATAGAAATAGACAATGGCCAGACCATATAGAAAGATAGAACTCAGACCCACAGTCTCTGGTAACCAGCACAGGAAACCAACCCATTATCTATATAACCAGCCCAAGATGCCAGCTATCTAGAAGTGAAACCTATAGAAAATCATACCATTATATTTAGCAACATTTCAGGATGCCAAAGGATGACCCCAGTAACGATGGCACCAAAGAGCCAGGACATGATTAATAATGGACGATTCCATTATTAAGCATAATTAATAATAATGAAGATTCCTTCATTTTTGTCCTTGTTTGCAACATAATACCAACCAGAGAAGGCCAAATATGTACGCCTAACAATCATGTAGGATGCATCTTCTATTTAGCCCAGCTCCAGCTTCCCAATCAGGGCATACCTGAAGTCTTACCTTTTTAAACTATAAGGCTTTACCACTCTTCTGCCTGCCTTTGAGAATCTGCAAAAATGCAAGTGATGGGTTCTGACAACCTTGTCGCAGGAAGGGCTTTGAGTGTTCTCATTTGGCTGGTCATCTATTTCCATAGCTCTTGGACATTCCTCAAAATACTGTCTTATAAGTTGATTTG